GCCAAAATATTAGATAAATCCGCAATCTGCTGTATTAATAAGATCCGAAATCGGTGTAAACATTCGCCAGATCCGAAATCCGGACAATTTTTTCTGTGAAATCCGACGATCCGAAAACCTATTCACCCCCCCGCCCCCCAATGTTCATGGTATATTGACATGCACAAGATACTGAGATTAGTGAAAGATATAGATTAAAAAGGACTTGAATGATGTGGTTTCTTGCACTTTACTTGGTAAAATTAATATTAGAATGTTAGGGTTTGTAATCCAAGTGATTATATAAATGTATATAATCACTTGGATTACAAATCCTAACATTCTAATAGATTAAAAAGGAATGTCAAGTGGTTAGCGTCAGTGTTAAAAGATGTTTGTAAAATAACAAGAGGAAAGACCTACTTAGAAGAGTGTTAACGGAATGGATCGGACATTATTATTAAACCATGGTTTAGTTTGAGCAATTAGTAAGCTTTCTTTAATAAGAATATCATGGTTAGAATTAGCTGAAGCAACAATTTTAAAATCACTTGGTTCAATTGGATGACCGGCTTCTCTAGAATGATCCGAAATACTAGATTTTGAAACTACCATCTTTTAACACTGACGCTAACCACTTGACATTCTCTTTTAATCTATATCTGTCACTAATCTCAGTACCTTGTGCATGTCAATACACCATGAACATTGTATATTTCTAATTTTAACTTTTTAACCGTTTGTAATTGTATATATCATATATTTTTCAAAATTTGTTATAAAATAGATAAAATAGCTTAACTGTATTAAGTCTGATGATGTCGCTTGTAATGTGACGAAACGTTACTCAATAAATATTTTTTATATTCCAAATGTTTTTTTGAATATGCCTCTTTTACGAGTTATTTGCTGGGCAATAATATTTTTAACTATTGTTACAGCTTGTAGACACTTTAAACCATTATACAGATTTGATCATTCCACTATATATTATATATTTATCTAATTATCTTTTAGTAATTGACATTTCTCAATTTTATAAAATAGTTTTAGCTTAATATAACATTACATGTAAGACTAAATGTACTTCAGCTTTATATGCCCCCATGTGAAGACCAACCTTAATGAAAACAAACTGTAACAAACATAAATCAAAGACGAGAACAAATATACAATTTACAGAAAACATGACGAATTACG